GTCCTCATGCTCACCAAGCCCAGCCACACTAGTGTCCTTTCTCTTCTTACAAATTGTCAAATCCTTTCCTGCCTTGGGCCTTTTTTGCTTGCTCTCTCTTTTTTATAAATTACTTTTCCCCCCATCTCTTCAGAGGGCAGGCTCATTCTCATCCTTAGTGCTCAACTTGAATGTCCCTTCATCAGCATCCAGGGCCTTCTCCACCCCAGCCATCATCTCCACCAAACATTATCCTATTTCCTCTTAAGTAGTTACCACTATCTGTAACTATTTAGCTTAGTGTCTGTTTCTCCCGCTTGAACAGGAGTAGGCAAAGTATGGCCCATAGGCAGCCAATTGTTTCTGCATGGCCCATGATCTAAGAATGGTTTTTACATATTTAAGTGTTTGAAAAAACATTTTTTAAGTTTTTAAATTTATTTGGGGGGGGGTGCATGCACACAAGCTGAGGAGGGGCAGAGAGGGAGAGAAAGAGAATCCCAAACAGGTTCTGCACCAACCGCGTAGAGCCTGACATGAGGCTCAAACTCTAACTCACAAACGGTGAGATCGTGACCTGAGGTGAAATCAAGAGTCAAACGCTAAACCAACTAAGCCACTCAGGCACCCCTGAAAAAATTTTTTTAAAGAATATTTCACAACACATGAAAATTATGTGAAATTCAAATTTCTGTGTCCACAACTAAAGTTGGAATACAGCCACCCTCATTTATATACTATCTATAACTGCTTTAACACTGCAACAGCAAAGTTGAGTAGGTGTGTATGGCTCACAGAGCCTAATTTACAGAAAGTTTTCTTTATTTAAGTAATCTCTACCCCTAACATGGGGCTGGAACTCCCAACCCTGAGATCATTAGTCACATGCTTTAGGAGGGAGCTAGCCCCGTGCTCCCAGAAGCAATGTTCTGACCCTGGCACTAAAATGCAAGTGCCATGGGGCATTGATTGTCTTGTTCAGTCCATCACTCCTAGTGTGTGGTCCAGGCTAATGCTCAATTTATAGGATGAATCAACCTTACCACTCTCCAGGGACTATTACTATCTGAGGGAGTAGGTGGGCTTACTGGCTTATGCCCTTCTAAGACCCAGAGGAACTGGGAACCAATTATTATTGGCTCTAGAAAAGTACCTTGAAAACAGGACTGTGTTTTATTCATCTTGAAATACCTAGTAAAGTCTTTTGCACAAGGTAGGGTGCTGCTGGAATCTGGAAGAACTCTTTTGGGGTTGTTGTTAAGATAAAATTTGGGGGTTGTTGTCAAGTAAAGGGCTCAGCATAATGTCAGGTGTACGTAAGTGTTCACTAAATGTTTGCTCCTGCCTCAATTTTCCTTGCTGTGATGGGAATAAAAGTGTGGGGTAGTACACAGACTCAAACAAGAATGTTCTTGTGTGAGACGGCTTTGTTTTTTTTTTCATTTATTTATTCTCGATGGACAGAGGGAGGCAGAGCGTGAGCATGGAGGGGCAGAGAGAGGGGCACAGAATCAGAAGCAGGCTCCAGGTTCTGAGTTGTCAGCACAGAGCCCGACCTGGGGCTAGAACCCACAAACCATGAGATCCTGACCTGAGCCTAAGTCAGATGCTTAACCGACTGAGT